TTGGTATCTTCCGCATCTCTTTAATTATTTTCTAGTAATTTTAGTTATGCATTTTCTCATGTTTTACCACTCAACATCACTCTTTTCCGACCAATTTTATACAGAAATAATTGTGTACACATCTATTCTTTTCCTTTTCATGTCATGTTTGTATTTTTACTTCAATCTGCAGGATTCAACCTGCATTCCCAGTACATGAAAAAATAATAAAATACTCCAAAACACGCGATTCTTTTGTTTAGGATTTTGTCAAGTGCGTGACGGATTTTTCTGTTGTGAATTAAAACACCATATTTTTCTTCAACATTACCAAAACTGGTAAGAAATATGGAGCAATAATCGATACATCAATTAAAGGAATAAATAGTATGATATACACTTGTTTATCTCCCTTTTCGAACGTGATACTAAAGCAATTCGTGTGTTTTACTAAACAAGTGAAACTGTTTGCATGAACTCATCTGTATCTAAGGACTTTGTTCAATTTTTTTTATATACTGGTATACTTGTTAACTCTAGGTTTCCCAATCTGCATACTTTAATTTAAACTACGTTTTATGGTTTTATCCAAGCTGTATACTACTCAATAAAAACGTGAGTTTTCCAAGTAAACATGTGTTGCATGCCGTTTCTTAATAAAATAAGCAGAAATTGCAAGATACATGTCACACACACAGAGTTTTGTAAAGGAAATCTCAAACATCAATCGGAACAAATATCAAAATAGCAGCCGAACAACTTCAAGTTCTACAGAGAATCTGTGCACGTTTGGTGATATTCTGTCAAACCGTTTCCAGGTAATCAATATAAATAAAAGAAGATGTGGTATGATTGCAAATGAGACAAATATCCAGCATAGTTCAAATGAAGTGGATGTAAGCCATTATCAGACTGCTATAGTTATTAAAAACCTCGTCCTTTGGTCCCTTTTGGAAAGTTGTCTCACTGGCAACCAAACCATATCATCCTTTGTTTTTATTGATATAAGCGGAAATGGAACATTATGTCCAATTGTAATATTTGTCCTAGTTAAGAATTATTTGACAATCTAAAAATATCCATTTTAAAGATAAGAAATGTGAAGGTAAATATATTTTTGTACTGTTTTAAAAGTGACAAAAACGAAACTAAAAGTATAGTAAAATGTTTAGTGTAATTTTAAATTGTGTAGATACCATCATAGTTTTATTGACCGTTATTGAATATCTGTGTTACAGAAAACCACGGATAAAATTACATACAATGTATAGATGGACTTTCTTTAGTTGTTGATATTTGATAACGAATGCTACTTCTAGAAAAACAAAGGATATGGGATATCCGTCATTGACACAAAATCAGAACATGCACAGTAAAAAAACACACAAAAAGCAAAGGAACAGCGCTTTTATTGTAGTTCTTCATCTTAAAGTCTTGTGCCCGTTTTATTACATGACAGGAGCAACATGACGAGTGGCATTACTTCAGGGGAAGCACTTACCCCTCCATACTAACTAAGTTAGATTCCGGTTTATAATTTGGTTCCTTTGCTCAACTTGTTGTTGTCAGGTTTTTGTTAATTGTAGTAAGTCTTATCGTCTCTATATGTTCTTTAGACTATGTGTTGTCTGTAATTCTTAGACTTGTTATTTGTGACTGCATCCCTCCCCCTTTTTTTGTATATTTTAGCATATTCAGTTTTGCCTTTCCAAATAGTCTTTTATTTATAGCATATTACTATAAAATTAATAAAATCTGAACAGTGTTTGTTCAATTTCTTCATCTATTTAATTTTATTTCTTCTCTCTTGTTTGCCGTCCCCGATGATTAATGCTTTGGTGTATGTAATTATCATATTTCGTTCATTCCAGAAGGTTTTTGCTTCATCAAATTTAAATGAGTGCCATTTCGACGTGTTTTATATGTCGCTTCGAACGAAAAAAACAGCCTAAATGTTCCTGTTAGAATCGAAATAATGCTGTTATGCCATGTTCTATTCTCATTTTAACTGGAAATTGATCTATTTTACTACGACGTTGCTTATACGTGCGTCTGGCGTATTAAATTATAATTCTGGTACCTTTGATAACTATTTACACCACTGGGTCGATGCCACTGCTGGAGGACGTTTCGTCCCCGAGGGTATCACCAGCCCAGTAGTCAGCACTTCGGTGTTGACATGAATATCAATTATATGGTCATTTTTAAAATTTCCTGTAACAAAACTTTGAATTTTTCGAAAAACTAAGGATTTTCTTATCCCAGGAATAGATTACCTTATCCGTATTTGGCACAACTTTTTGGAATTTTAGGTCCTCAATGCTCTTCAACTTTGTACTTGTTTGGCTTTATAACTATTTTGATCTGAGCGTCACTGATGAGTCTTATGTAGACGAAACGCGCGTCTGGCGTATTAAATTATAATCCTGGTACCTTTGATAACTATTTACACCACTGGGTCGATGCCACTGCTGGTGGACGTTTCGTCCCCGAGGGTATCACCAGCCCAGTAGTCAGCACTTCGGTGTTGACATGAATATCAATTCTTTGGTCATTTTTTTTAAATTTCCTCTAACAAAACTTTGAATTTTTCGAAAAACTAAGGATTTTCTTATCCCAGGAATAGATTACCTTATCCGTATTTGGCACAACTTTTTGGAATTTTGGGTCCTCAATGCTCTTCAACTTTGTACTTATTTGGCTTTATAACTATTTTGATCTGAGCGTCACTGATGAGTCTTATGTAGACGAAACGCGCGTCGGGCGTATTAAATTATAATCCTGGTACCTTTAATAACTATTTACACCACTGGGTCGATGCCACTGCTGGTGGACGTTTTCATTTTATAAATGCAATAACTATAGAACGAAATTATTTTGCATAACCTGTTGCAGGAAAGCAAGCATTGTGACAAATTGTTTTTATAAGACTTTTTGAAAACGCTTGATAAAACTGCTGTCTCCTGTTACTCGTGCATATCTAAAGAAAATAATTTCCCATTCTATCATGATAACTTAAGGCAAACTCAAAAAGATAGGGCCCTGAAATTTTATCACACAATGCCATTTTCAAAAAGTCTTTCAATCTTTACTGAAATTTGCAGTAGCATAGCTCCACGTTAAGATTCTAACAATATCATGGCTTATTGCAAATGACTAATAAAGACAACAGTAGTAAACAGCTGGTCAATAGTCATAAATCGATAAAGCGGAAACAAATCCGGGGCACCAACCAAAACCGAGGGAAAAACATGAACTATAAGAGGAAAACAACGGAACAACAGAAACACTAAACTGCTACAAAAACAAACGCCAACATGCATAGAAACGGACCATTTGATAACAACTGCCATATTCCTGAATTGGTACAGGACATTTTAAGACAAGAGTGCACACGCTGAAATGTCTCGCCTTCTTTATTAATCACTGATATTATGTTGTTAGTCCTAAATATAAAGCTTTATTACAACTGTCACATAAACTTAACATTAACCAAAAAACTAAACATTGACCAATGAACCATGAAAATGAGGTCAAGGTCAGATGAACCATGCCAGGCAGACATGTACAGCTAACAATTCTTCCATACAACAAATATAGTTGACCTATTGCTTATAGTTTAAGAAAAACAGACCATAACACAAAAACTTAACAAATAAAACCTGTGCGACCGACATATAGATCATAAAATATTTCCATATACCAAATATAGTTGACTTATTGCATATAGTATTAGAAAAAAAGACCAAAACTCAAAAACTTAACTTTGACCACTGAACCATGAAAATGAGGTCAAGGTCAGATGAAACCTGCCAGCTAGACATGTACACCTTACAATCATTCCATACACCAAATATAGTAGACCTATTGCATACAGTATAAGAAACATAGACCAAAACACAAAAACTTAACTATAACCACTGAACCATGGAAATGAGGTCAAGGTCAGATGACACCTGCCAGTTGGACATGTACACCTTACAGTCCTTCCATACACCGAATATACTAGACCTATTGCTTATAGTATCTGAGATATGGACTTGACCACAAAAACTTAATTTTGTTCACTGATCCATGAAATGAGGTCGAGGTCAAGTGAAAACTGTCTGACGGGCATGAGGACCTTGTAAGGTACGCACATACCAAATATAGTTATCCTATTACTTATAATAAGAGAGAATTTAACATTACAAAAAACCTTAACTTTTTTTCAAGTAGTCACTGAACCATGAAAATGAGGTCAAGGATATTGGATTTGTGACTGACGGAAACTTCGTAACATGAGGCATCTATATACAAAGTATGGAGCATCCAGGTCTTCCACCTTCTAAATTATAAAGCTTCTAAAAAGTTAGCTAACGCCGCCGCCGCCGCCGGCGGATCACTATCCCTATGTCGAGCTTTCTGCGACAAAAGTCGCAGGCTCGACAAAAAAATTGTGGGTTGAAAAGCTATAAATACATGAAGTAACCACAAACCGCAATTTTAACAGATGTTTTCAAATTTTGAGCATTTATCTAATAAAGCTGTGAACTAAAACCCAAATTTTGTTGAAAACAAAGGAATATAATGCTTTTCTGAAACAAATTCTTTTATTGTGGTTAATCACATCCGTCGATGCAAATTTTACAAAAACATGTAAAATTTGTAACTTTGTGTCGAAATGCCTTCAACGGCCTTATGTATCGCTGAACTACATTTTGGTTTTATGGAAGTTTTGTAATTTTTTGGAAAAATGTTTGAAGAGCATGACATTCTAATGTAGGAATTGACTTTTTTTTTAAATTGACCCTGTCAGAAAAACAAAATACAGGGGAAATTGACCATACCTCCTTTTTTTTAACTTGTGTTGATAATGAAATCAAGGTTTGAATATACTTTTAAACACATTTCATGTAGCAACGTTATCACAAGTAAAGTGCATTCCACAAAGTAAATTTGTGCAAATTCAAATATGGTAAAGCACCACAATAGTTGCAAGTAGTAAAGTGTTAAGTTCGTTAGGTTCTTCAATTCCATAATATCACTCAGACTCATGATTTAATAGCTAAGTCGTTGTTTTGCAGTCTAAATGGATTTTCATAAGGTCAAGTAGTTACAAAAATATTTTGGAAATACACTTAAAAACATTTACAGTCAATGTTATAATATAAATGTCACAGACAATAAAAACTTGACAAAATACGTCATATGATTCTGATACACAGACAAATACTTCTTTTGACATTAAATTAAAAGCAAGATTAAACATTTTTAGCAGTATATATTTTCGATGTCTCAAGTTTAATTTATAATGTAACATAAAACATAACATTTACAAATATAAAAAAACTGCTTTCGGGTCAAAAAGATCATATCTAACTGAATTTGTGATTAATTTGTTTTTTCACTGTTAATGATAGTAACTATATAGCTTATTTGTTATATAATTAATTTGAATTTGATAGTCTTTCGCGTCTGTTCTGTCGTCTCTCGTTTCTCTTATTTTTCCATTCCTTCCTTCTGTGGTTCTTTGATTTCTTCTTATCTTGTCTTTTTTGTTTCCATCTCATGAGTTTCTCGTGAAGTTCACACGAATAAGCGATAGATTCTGGCTGACATGTTGCTGGATCTCCTCTAGTAACAGTGAATGTCTTGGTTACCATGTTTGTTTCTTGGTTACATTCACTTACAGACACATCGAATCTGCAGCCCACTGTAAATAAACAACATACCAATAAAGATCTTTCCGGGTAATACTAGTATGTTCTTCAATGGAAAAAATATTTAATAGTGCACTTGTATATGACATCCATTATTTTTATTAAGTAACCACCATGTACAATGAACACCTTTTATTTAAAAGGTATAGAACCCATAATAAGAGTTTCATTGCTAAAACTAGTAAAAGAAAGACAACTCTTACTGCAATTTTCTATCCAATACGAACATACGTTGTTGTTACAAAAAAACAGTGTTAAATTACGAAAATACCTGAACAGATAGCGTTTACTAGACTATAATAATGTCCACCTTTCCTGTTGGTTTTATTTTATTCTTCTTTTCATATGTTGTAAGTATGTGATGAAATATTGTTCACTTACTTCCGAATTTCTCCTTCAAACCCTTCTTGTGTTTCTTCCACCTGTTTTTGTGTTCCCTGTGTTCAGCAAATTTTGCTTTTCTTTCAAACTTCTTTGCTTTCCATGCTTTGATTTGTTCCAGATGTTCACATGGGATGGACTTTGTTTGAGTTGGTACACAATCCGAAGGTGACCCCTGTTTCAAGGTCAGTGTCATAGATACAGTGTTTGACGTTAAGTCACAGTCTCCCCAGTCTCCACGCTCGTATCGGCATCCTACATAATAAAGTTCATCTCATACAGTTTAACAAAATTATATATTATACATATACATATACGAATAGTACGATTGGAATATGAAACATAGATCTAAATATAATTAATATTTAAACCCAAGTAAATAGATATACCCAGACCATTTGTTCAATTTGTTATCAAGTGGGTAGTACATGCCGTATAAGTTGTTTCAGTCTGTAAGAAAGTTATGCAAGATAAGGTCGTATATTGATACAAGAGATGTATTTTTTACTGTTCTCGACAAATGGAAATGTCTGCATGTTCTTTTTTGGGTGTATGTTTTTAAATTCGCACTTGGCAAATATGACCATTAATTTTTCTTCAGTGCGCAATGAAAATAAAAATAAGAAAATGTGTTGTGATTGCCAATGAGACAACTCTCCACCAAAGACCAAATGATATAGAAGTTAACCATTCTAGGTCACCATACGGCCTTCAAAATGAACGAAACCCATACCGTATAGTCGGCTATAAAAGGCCTCGACATGAAAAATATGAAACAAATCAATGCACTGCACCAGTATATAAGAAAGAGGAAATACTATCAAATGTACTCAGCTTCAACCCATGTATATATGAAAGCGGCATGAAAAGTCTCTTTCAATTGACTGTGATTGAACAATCGGTGATTGACAGTGTCTGTTATATTCCTTACTTCCTATATGAAAGCATTAGGTTAAACCAGATATGAAGTACGGCACACAAAGCCTCCTTGTTCTTACATGACATCATATTCAGCTCAAATTAACAATGAATCTCGAAATTAATGTGATGTGAGAGTGTGTGGTAATTGGTTTACTTACTCAGCTTGTCTTTTCCCCGTCTATTTCTTTTTGCGGAGGCAAGCGCTATGAAGACAAAACATAAAACAGCAATTTGTAGCTTCATCCTGCAAGTAATAAAAACAAGCTTAAAGTTATAAATACCGAAAACCTTTGGCGCTGTCCTCATATGGTAAAATGCATAATCCATACTAACATGATCAGGCCATAATTTTCTCGTTTGAATTGTTTTACATTTGTCATTTCGTGGCCTTTTAAAAACTGACTGTGCAGTATGGTTTTTGTTCATTGTTGAAGGCCGCGAATTCAATTAGAGAGAGTTAGTGCTTGAGCCCATATCACCCTACTCGGTCGTTCTTTACGTTATTCTCGTATCGCGGATTTGAGGGATGAATATTTGTGAGAAAAATCAACTTACTTCAAGCGTTTAACTGTCTGTAAGATGAGCAAAAGGACCAGATTTAGTACGATAAACAGATTATCAGGTTTTCTGTATATTGATATCGTAAAATATTAGCCGCTCGACATAAAGTGAAGTTGTTTTGCCCGTTCGCTGCGCTTACTCACCCAAAAAGCTTCACCTGGTGGCTTGCAGCTAATATTTTTAGATACCAATGCACAGAAAACACGATAATTAAAGATCAATTTTTTTTTAGAAAGTAGCGATAATCTATACATGACGTTGCATCTTGATGCGCAAATATTTAACAAAAGAATCCTTCATAATTATCAAACTTTGAATAATTCATTGAAAGGACATCATGAAAGGTTGGAAAGAGATATAATCGTTTACTTTGGTGGAAAAGTTTTTATCATTTTTATATTATTGCATCCGAGTAATTTGATTGTATTAACTCAACCACCAAACATATTTTAAATTGTGTTACCCCTTGAAAGGAGATAGCTTCATAGTATTTAGTACGTCAAGATCTTTTTCTTCTATACATATTCAAAAATTAATCATTAACAAGAGTGTACACACTGAAATGTCTCGCCTGCTTTACTGACCATTGATAACCCAAACCAGAAATACATGTACACCTTGCTACCATTCCATACACCAAATATAGTTGACCTATTGCTTATAGTTTCGTAGAAACGAACTTAACCAGGACAACTTAACATTGATCGATGAACCATGAAAATGAGGTCAAGGTCAGTTGATACCTGCTAGATAGACATATACACATTACAATCATTCCATACACCAAAGATAGTTGACCTATTGCTTATAGTTTAAGAAAAACATACCAAAACATAAACACTTAACATTGAGCAATGAACCGTGAAAATGAGGTCAAGGTTAAATAAAACCTACCAGACTGACATGTACATCATAAAATATTTTCATACACCAAATATATATGACCTATTGCATATAGTATTAGAAAAAAAGACCAAAACACAAAAACTTAACTTTAACCACTGAACCATGAAAATGAGGTCAAGGTAAGATGACACCTATCAGTTGGACATGCACACCATAGAATTATTCAATACACCAAATATAGTAGACCTATTGCTTATAGTATCTGAGATATGGACTTGACCACAAAAACTTAACCTTGTTCACAGATCCATGAAATGAGGTCGAGGTCAGATGAAAACTGTCTGACAGACACGAGGACCTTGTAAGGTACGCACAAAAAGTCATACTAAATATAGTTATCCTATTAATCATAATAAGAGAGAAACATTACAAAAAATCTTATCTTTTTTTCAAGTAGTCACTGAACCATGAAAATGAAGGCAAGGACAATAAACATATGACATACGGAAACTTCATAACATAAGGCATCTATATACAAAGTATGAAGCATCCAGGTCTTCCACCTTCTAAAATATAAAGCTTTTAAGTCGTTAGTTAAAACTGCCGCCGCCGGATCACTATCCCTACATGTGTCGAGCCTTCTGCGACAGAAGTCGCAGGCTCGACAAAAATCATTTGTTTACATCGGATGTGACCTTGAGAGGTCATACCGGTGTTATGTTGCCGCAGAAATTTCCTTACGCTTTTGACTGATAACTGAACGTATTTCGTATAATTACGCGGATATTATCGAGTGCAAAATAACATTCCTTATCGCTTGTTATATATTAATTTCATCAATAAATATTCATGAAAATAATTTTTAAGAACATAGATAAATGATATGAAAATGTTTTGTCGTGAGAAATATATATATCAGTAACTAATCATGAATACCGAAAATTTGTGTTATTGCATGAGGAAGAATATCTCGAGAACTTTTTGCAACAAAAGCGGGAAAATATGAATGCCTACTCAGATCCAATCTATTAGAAAAACGAATCATTACAGAAGAGTGTCCACCATGCACTTGCACTGCACTATAATTAGAATAGTAGAATAGAATGATATATAAATGGATGAAAATGTGCCGGTAGAGTTATTAAGATGATCTGCTATATATATATATAACTGTTATACAAATATTTATTTAGTATAATATATAACAACAAACCAGAGTATACTGATAGAAAATGATTATATCACTACAATATAATAATTATTACGGCGAGGTTGAATTCCCTGTCATTTATTCATCATCCACACAGGAACTTGTCTCAGAAAAAAATATATCTATTTACCATAACCTAACTTTCAGGTATAGAGATAGATTTTATTATGATGTTAGCTTGTTTTGCAGTGTATTATACATTATTATTTATTTCAGATTTTATGCTTTAGTACTAGCAGTTAAAAATTTGTTCAGATTAAAGGTTGTTAAAAAATTTCAAACAAGGTAGAGGGATAAAATGACCGTGATAGCAACAGGTCAGATGTTCTCTAGTAAACAACATACTTAATTTAAATATGAATTTGGTCAGGGTCTTTTATTTGTAGTTGAATGAATGGTACTGGTAGTGACCATTAAATTACTATTGTTGTCGTAGTCATAAACTGTACTGCCCTTTGTATAGGTTGGATTGTTAAATATTTATTGAAGATACCAAATGGAAAACTTTATTATTCATTGATAATAAATTCTAGTAAGAAATGTCAGAGCTCGTATAATAATGAGAAATGAGAAAAAGCTGGGGAAGATTCAGTTATCACATATGAAATTTGTATCATTGAAAATTTATAAAACCCAAACGGACTATAATAACAAGGTACATGGTACACGGTCAAAGATCACATTGTGTGAAAGCTTTACTTTTCAAGGAGTGTGTAAATACATATTTGGATAAGTCGACTGAAAAATTTAAAGAAAATTAAAAAAAATACAAGTTTATTAAAGTTATCTTATGGAAAATTTTATTATTCATTGATAATAAATTCTAGCAAGATATGTCAGGGTTCGTATAACTAGTAGAAAATGGTAGGAAAACTTCAAATACCCCACACGAAATTTGGATAATTGAATAAAATTGAGAATGGAAATGAGGAATGTGTCGAATAGACAACAACCCGTCCAATGAGCAGAAAACAGCTCAAGGCCACAAATATTTGTTTATGGAACCCAAACGGACAATAACAAGGTCCGATGTACACGGACAAAGATTACACTATTCTATTGTGAAAGCTTGACCTTTCAAGGAGTGTGTATATATTGAATATTAGTCAACAAATTGTAAAAATAAATTAAAGTAAAGCCTTTAATCTTCTTATTGAATTAACTTAATATTGTACCATTGTTTTGCACTTATTTTTTTAAACGATTTTGGATTATATAATTTCACCTTATCATAAATTAGTCAGGTGACTAAGAATAAACCCGATCATTTTCAGAATATGACGTAACACTATGTTTATCTGTAAAGATTTAGGGTCAGTCACTGCCGGTATTTGAAAGTTTAATCGTAAATATGTATATTGATAAATATGAACAACTGTTTACATACGGTCAAAGAAAGTTCCAAATTATCACCTGTGTACAAATACCAATCCTTGTGCAGGTTTTAATATGGACTTTCGGTATACATATCATCGAGTGTGTGGTCGTTAATAAAATTTTAGATTATTATGTCATATTTGTTTGCAATATGGCAATAAAAAGACTATTTTAGGTGAAACAATAGAGATTATCAAGTCAAGTACATGTATTATTATCTGTACTTCGATACTTTAAGAGCGTTCGACTTTATTGAATTAGTCTTCATTTTGATTTGTTGATTAAGTAATTAACATATACTATGTTTTGTTGTAGATGCTATACTGCTAAAAATACAGAGGGACCTATAGGTAAAATGATAATAATACATATGGACATAACTATACTGCTGCAAATACAGAGGGCTTGCCTTGACCTTAGTCAAAACACGAAATGTCATCATAATTCTAAAGTTCATAAACAGGTCTAACCATAATGCTTCAGTTTCTGATTATAAACCTCTGAAATAGGTAAATAATTCAAGGTTCATAATATATGATAAGATTGAGAAATTTTGATTAAATATATGATAAGGTTGATTGTTATTCATTAGAATCTGAAATATTTAGTATTTGTAATAAATGCAACTTAATTCATAGTCATAAATGCGTCAGTTTATTTACTAAACTATCTTTACTTTCCATGGTAGGGTATGATTTTTTTAATATAAGAATAGGTGGGATATTGAATGTCTCAGTTGCTCACCCCTACCACAAAATAATTAACAATGAATGCAAATACTTCATTCTTAATTAATACATAAAAACAAGACATTCCAATGCTGTATCACTACTCATCTCTTTCAAACAAATAGAAATTGAAAAGTTTTAAGGCAGAGATAATAATAAATAAAATATTCTGTTAGAATTTGTATATTTATGTATATATAAATTCAATTTCACCATTTATACAAGACAAGACACTCACCTGTCGCTTCGTCTGTAAAGTCGGGTATGTACCGTACCCTTTCACTTCTATCGAGGTTTTAACTATGACGTGTTCCATGGTGTTTATTTTCGTTCAAAGCGCATGATTCAAATCAAACAAAAGGTATTTACCTGGGCATTCATGAACTGTTGATCGAAAGACTATCTGGAGATTTACTTTTGAAGAAATACGAGTTAGAGATATCTATTTTCATAATACAAAATATCACATGTACGACACATTAAAACACTTTTAATCATTGTACAGTTACAAAGTAAATCAAGGATTAAAAGGTTTCAATTTATTTCTCAATTACATTCACGTTTTTATGATAAAATATGAAGAAATAACATAAAAAATGTGGTGCACACTGAATAAACCGCGTAGCGAGTTATTTAAAAGTGTGCACCACATGTTTGAGGTTATTTCGAATAGACAGAAAAAATATTACAGTCAGTCCTTATAATTTTTCTAAATTCCATTTTTAAGGAGTAAATCATGAAAAAACGTTGATGACGTCACGGCCACAAGACAAAATTATGTCTATGAACTGATAGACAAAACACTTTCAGCCAATCAGAAGAAGTGTTACATCCAAAATTAATCATTCGAATTATACAGCACGATATCCTGGCTTGAATATCAGAATGTGTTATTGGATAATTATCATTTTTTCGCTTATTCCTTGATGTCAACTACTATACCGTTACAAAAATTTTAAGAACAACATCTCTGATTTTGCTTTGTCATAAGTTATGGAAACCAGGTTATAGTAGCAAATGATGTTGTCGTATTTTGTATTTCGACCGTTTTTTTATACAGTTTGTATAATAATTATCTACACAATTTTATCCCTCCCTTACTGACAGTTATTAGTTGATTTATTCTTATATTAACATAATATTATCCCATTATTATTAGTTGGTTTATTCGTATATCCAAACAACATTATCCCTTCCTAACTGACAGTTATTAGCTAATTTTTTCGTATATCCAAACAACCATATCCCTTCCTTACTGACAGTTATTAGCTAATTTATTCGTATATCCATTCCTTTCTGACAGTTATTTATTTTTTTGATTTATTCGTATACCCACACAATATTATCTCCTTATCATTAGTTGGTTTATTTGTATATCCACACAATATTATTGCTTCCTTACTGACAGTTATTTATTTAGTTGATTTATTCTGATATCCACAAATCCACAAAATATTACCCCACCCTTACTGACAGTTATAAGTTGATTTATTCGTATATCCACACAATATTGTCTATATAGGCAAAAGGGGGCAAAAGTGGGGGGATGGGATAGAAGTTTCACTTTGAGTCCTTTTAATCTAAGTATGATATATGCTTATTATTTATCCATTTTTAAGTTAGATTTTGGAACTACCGGTACATTGTTTATTTCGAAGTGAACCTTTATGAATGTAAGACAATTTCAATTTAATTCTGACTCTTTGCTCAAGTTATTTAAAAGTTCATCAGGTCAGACATTAAACAATTTTACCGTGATGTTAATAAAAGGTAATGGAGTGAATAAATTGACCGTGACAGCCTCGGGTATTCTCTTCACAATTCTATACAAATATATATTTAATGACAAAGTAGTTTATCTTGATCAAGTGTTTATCATTTGTATTTCAGTGAAGGCAAAGACATATATATATACTAAATATACATATGTCTCTGGTGAAGGATACAGAAAGAGACAATATCATTAAATAGTATAATTATGCATCTCTTGTATAAAACAGAACTGGTTATGCATATTACGTAGGATTAACGGGTTAAATTCTCTTAACGATTGACAAAGCAATCTAGCAACAAAATATCAGAGTTTATATTCTTGTAAGAATAGAAAAGATATCAATTAGCTGTCACATATGAAACTTGAATTGGTAATAGTTATTCTTTAAAGTTTCATAAAACTCAAACGGCTTATTCACGGGATTATTTCTTTAGTGTAAACAATATTTTATTATTATGAATTATACAAATTACAATATATATTCACATTCACAAATAGGATTCAGAAACAAGCAACAAGTGCTTATGTTAATCAACAAGTTCTTTACAAGGACCATCTTCGCTAGCCAAGGGTTACGATCCAGTACCCTCCTCTCCACCCTTGGTGGATTAAGATAGAATTTCGGATCCGCGAGGTAAATAAATGATTTCCATTGGTCGTAGTTATAACTGGCTGCATCTAATCAAATAGCGCCTTTAAGAGCATCACATGTAAATGAAGAAAATGTAAACAAGCAATTGCCAAGTGCTGATTTGGCAACAAGTCTTGACCCCCGAAACATGAGACGATATTTATTGACAATTTTAAAGTTCTTAATCAACTAATTGAAGTTCCTAGGTATGCTTTAGTGGAAATTTTGGAATGTCAATATTTTCGGTTCCTGCTTCACGAAATTTGTAAACACTAGACACAAACATTTTACACCTCCACACTGAAGAGAGTTGAAGTGCTGCAATTTGGTCAAGAATGATGTAGTCGGAATGGGCATGACTTTTATCTACCGTTAGATGGCGCAGCATTGTAATCACAAATATTGGCTTTATCTACCAAGGGTGGAGAGGAGGGGACTGGATCGTAACCCTTGGATAGCGAAGATGTACAAGAACGTTCAGCAAGTAGCAATCAATCATTATCATTATTCGATCTTTTTTTCCATTTCGGCTATAATTTTAAAACATCTTATTCTTTTTATATTCATCTGACCGATTGAGGGATTGAGGATCGGTTGAACTATAAACTTTACAAAAAAAAGATTGATTCGAATTTCCAATTGTGAATTCTTTTCTCTTTTCTGTGTAGCAAGATTCCATCGTGCATTTGGTGTAAATATCTTCAAGTTGATACGACATTCCAAGGCTTGCGTATACTTTCACGATTTTCTTGATAGAGGGTTTCTGCTTAGGAAGAAGCTATTAAAACGAAGAGTTCCTTATGGTAATGGTGAAGTCACCTTTCAAATTCTTACAGACGCCATCATAATTAGGTTGTCCATTGTGGAACATTGGTGTTACAGTTAACGACGAAAATGTTCCACTTGTCGTAATCACAATCATCTCTCCTCTTTCACCCGATTGGGACCTCGCGGAAAGCGACTTACTTAATAAAATATTAGAATAATGAGATCATAGATAAAGCCTACTTGTCTCACGTGGAGCAGGAAATGGTTACCCTTCCGAAGCACGTGGGTTCACTCCTAGGTCTGTTTACGGGTGTTTGTGTAACATAAGCTTTATTTTTCAGTGTTACATTTTTATGCGACTTTATTTTTAATATCTGTGTTGAATCTACTGGGATCTGTTTTGTGTGTTATTAGATGCACAGCACCAAATAGTCTGCAAATTATAAAAAGAAATAACAAAGACCATGCTACAGTTCCGCACCTAATCTGTCCTCTGTCCTTAAAACCATTATTAGCATTCTACATGAGTTTGATGATGTCTTAGATAAGAAAAGATACTTTCACCAATCCGCCACTTATGATACATTATCGATGACTCATGAACCAAGCTTTACCATGAGCTACATGGCGGAGGCCACAAGTGGAGCAGGAACTGCTGACCATTCTGGTATACCTGGGTTCACCCACGATTTTGGTGGGGTTCTTTCTTGTTCATTCTTTAGTTTTCTGTGTGGTGTTTTGTGAATTGCTGTTTTCCTTTGGACATGCTGTAGTCAATTTTTCTTCTTTTTATAGTTTTTGACTGTCCCCTTGGTATTTTCTATCTCTTTTTTTCTCTCTATTGAACTAAGTTATAGTTTTAACATACAATAGTTACTAACAATTAAATTATCGTCAGTAAGGAAACAGACGGAACAACAAATGATTTAATACGCTTACATCATCCAAATTGTTCTTTAAGGCATTGAAGCCAAGGTAAAACATTTGAGTCCACGTCCGACATATTTGTCACGTTTGAAACGCTATTACTTCTTACCTCTACTTACTAATCTACTTCGCGTGCAAGTTAAATTAACAAAAGATACATGTAGTATGAGTATCCCTTCGAGACCCTTACTGATTATTTAAATCTCAATTATTAACACTAATATTATGAAAGTTAACAAAAAAAAGCGATCAATGTATAGTGGAGTTTATTTTCTAATAAACCTGTTCTCTTGTGTACCTTCAGTTAGTTTTCTTATCGAGATTAAAATGGGTAGGAGTGTGATCTAAAGAAACTAGTTTAACCCGTTTAGTAGCCCAGAAGTCAGCACTTCTCTTTTGACATGATTTATCATTGATATGGTCATAATTATAAATTAACTGATTATAAAACTTTGAATTTTTGAAATACTAAGGCTTTTCTACCTCAGGAATGGATTACCTTAGCTGTATTTGGCAAAAACTTTTAGGAATTTTTGGTCCTCAATGCTCTTCAACTTCGTACTTTATTTGGCCTTTTCAACTTTTTTTGATTCGAGCGTCACTGATGAGTCTTTTGTAGACGAAACGCGCGTCTGGCGCAATTTTAATCCTGGTATCTATGATGAGTTTATTCTTAATTCATGTGCCTGCCCCGATTCAAGAACCTCGTTATTCGATGTCTTATGTCATATCTTAATATGTTTGTTACATGGAGAATAAGATGTTGATGGCAGATTTTGCTTAGTCTCATTCATCCTTTTTTTCGACCTGGGGCGATTAAGTGCTTGTCGTGTTGTATAGGTACCGGTCAAACACATCAAACGAATGGAAACCAACTAAAAATTAAGGATGCTCTGTTAGGTAAGGATGTCTTCGATTTTAAACATTACCCTTTCTGATTTGTTTGTTTTGAGCGCACATGGTAAAACATGTGTAGTGTTAATAACAAACTACTCAACAACACAATTTTAGTTACTGTAATTCAACTGTCTTCTTCGATCTTTGTTAATTTGCATCATCACCTGAAAACATAAAAGAAACACGACAAAATGATCAGGGCTAAATTTATTAAGTATCAACATCTTGAAAAAGAAAACAAATAGATGCAAGGCGGTACACAATGTTAAGAAATGAATGTACGACGATATTTGTAATAATTCTAACTGTTACACTGAATGCTACATTCATTGTTTGAGAACACAATAGGGAACATGAAAGTCTCACTCACTCGTGTTTCCAAATAAGTAAACGGTCTTGATTGCTTTCAGTTTTACTTCTTTTTTAGATCGTCTACTAGGCATTATCAAAACATCATAGCTTTTTGTAGTAGTTTTTTCAAAATATGTCAAACTACGATACATGCATGTATCAGCGTCATGTTAAGATTTCACGAGCGAAGAAAAATAAAAATTTTAACAGGGAAGACACACTGGCAACGGAATTTATCAATTTAACCAGAATTCTGTTATGGAATAAACTCAGCAGACAAGATAAATTATATATAGCTTTGCTGTAAATTTAAAAATGCGTAAGAAATTACATGTACTCTAATTCACAATGTTGTTAATCAACAGGAAACAAAAGATCTTAAGAATGGGCCCTAATGTCAGTACTGGTACATGTATCTATATGAGATTAAATTACTTACAGGTCCTGCTTTGACAAACAAATCCATATTTATCTGTAGCTGGATAATCAAACCATCCAGAACTCCAACCCCATGCTACAACGTCTGATCTGTCTGGCGACCCCTTCGCTGTGCCATAGGCTGACGCCCAGTTTGAAAATGTAAGGGAAGTATTATCGACGGTCCATCTGAATTGTCCTTCATTTGTCATGTCTGTTAGTCCAATCCAGTAATACGATTGGGCTGTAAAATAAATTTCAGTTGAAAACGATATAAATAACGAAAAATACTGTGTTGCAACCTTTACTTTTTAAACCGACGAGGAAAGACATTTCTCGACTAACGAACGCTTTATTTTCATATAAACTAGTCCTGTGGTCTAAAACACTTAACACAGTACATGGTGTGTTGCCATAATGTCAGAAAACAGGAGTTCGGATCCCACTGAGAGAAGAACAAAAATTTGCTGAAAAAAACAAGATGAAGTATATATGAAAAGAATAGTTTTGGCTATCCAAAATTTTTGTTTCAAGTGGCGCACCTGACGATGTTTTTTTTTTTTTAAATAAATGACATGCGCACTGAAATAGGTCTTCTTCTTGTTTTTCATTCATAGCGATCGACTTTTTTTTATTCATCTTTCGGTTATTGTTTATAACTTTTGAAAGAGGTTTCTTTAACTTCTTTGTCTTTATACCTGATGGTTTTTTCGTCATCAGCCATTCATCTAATGTATTGTTGTACATCTTTGCTAAATGACTTCCCCTTTGTCTGCAATCATCCTGTCGAAGAAAAAACATTACATTTACTTGTTGCATTGTGCTTAAGGACTACTGATTTCTAGCGGGATAACGCTGGGTAAAACAATGTTATTTTTATCTATTTCCGTTATTTTAACCCAGTTGTTTGCCTCCTTAGCAATCTCGCAGAATATCTTTTTCTCGTGTTTTTTTTTGGTGGTGTATACCACATGTGCTTGGGTTTGGGTACACAATAATTTTCATGAATTTGAACTTAATTTTACTATCAATATCTAAAACAACAATACAATTGACTCGAATCATTTCTGTTTTAAACTTGCATTTACGTTCCCGAAAGTTTAAAACAATGCAGGACAGGCTACTTGTTCACGAACTTTTACCTAAGAAAAATAATCTTTTCCCGGTTTTTTTTTTTCGGAACTCATCCATACATTTATATACCTCAGACGAACTGGAAGAGTTAATTGGGAAAAATTATATATCTTAAAGTCGAAATTCCAGGCACGTAAATGCAAGTTTAAAAGAAAACAGCTTCGAATTAGTTCCTCAGTTGTTTTTGAGTATGGAATAGTAAAATTAGGGATTTTATCCGAGTTGAAAAATTCACACAAAACATGGTAAGACAAGTATAGTGTTGTTAAGTATGTGGTAGAAGAATAGAAAATTTAATATTCTGAGTCAAATCAAACTATGAAAAAACATATACAAATCCTGTACCCAAGCGCGTGTGGAGGACATAAGGAATTTGTATCGGTCTGTTCGTTTAACGCGCGACGTTCGTTACAAAGTTGAATCAGACGGGTCTTTTTGCTAAGTGAAACATTGGTATTATTGTTCCACTTTGTTTATGAAATTCCGACACAGGGGGGAAATTTACTGTTCAAAACCAATAACAATGAAATATCCAAGAAAAATTCAACATTTAAAAAAAAAAACTAAACAGATATTGCTTTAGACCAACAATTAGCTTCTTTTTTAAGCTTATAACATCAAACTATCAACATTTATTAGAGACAGACGCCAACGAAATTCACTGAACTAAGAGTTGTAATTTTCAAACGAAGTCTTATAACAATAGATATAAGAAGATTTTGTATGAGTGCCAATGAGACAACTCTCCATCCAAGTCACAATTTATAAAAGTAAACCATTATGGTCAAAGTACGGTCTTCAGCACGGAGCCTTGGCCCACACCGCACAGCAAGCTATAAAGAGCCCCAAAAATTACTAGTGTAAAACCATTCAGACGGGAAAACCAACGGTCTAATCTATATAAAAAATCGAGAAACGAGAAACACTTATGAACCACATCAACAAACGACAACTACTGAACATCAGATTCCTGACTGAGGACAGGTGCAAACAATTGCAGCGGGTTTAAACGTTTTAATGTTACCAAACCTTTACCCTTATCTGAAACAATAGTGTAACATCACAAAATAGAAAGACACACTATAAAATATCAATTGAAATGGCTTAACTCAATCAAAAGACATATTAACACAAGTGAACATACACTGAACGAATAAATTTGATCTATGATACAATGTAAGTACAAAATCAATAAAATAAGGGATGAATAATTAGTGTAACAGTATTATACCGCTGTGAAATGTTAAAGACTTTCAGAAAAACAACAATAACCTTAAACAAAAGTCCGCCATTTAGAATAATATTATACACAGGTAAATGAAAATAATTTTGTTGCTAGGTATACAGTTTAAAAGGAGAAAGGACATATTTTTACAAAATAAATAATTTTGATGTTCATAGTTCGAAGAAGTGAAAATTTATAGTAATACCAAACACTTATCAAAGCTGGTATATAAACCAGATATAACCCTGAATAAGTAAACATTAAATAACAAAAAAGCATTACAAATAGTATCAACAGGACAAATTAACAAGAAAGCACGATTTGAGTACTCGCAGTTACTGACAGCTAGTTAAAAGCCAAAAACAATTAATAATAAAAAATCATGCATCAGAGACTAAAATCAACTAAAACACATCCTAGGGATTTGGTATTTTAACGACATGGACAGTCAAAGAAGACATGACTTGTGCAATGCCAAAAATAAATGTATCGACAAGCAGTAGGATAGTTAGGAGTTAACCTCTTAATAGACAAAAATAAATGTGGGTGTGTCTTTATACATCCCGTTTGGAAAGAATACAAATTTAGTTATGTTTTAATTTGCTGATGACAAAATCGATATTAATGCCAATGTAAACTATATTCAAAGATCTAATTACAATATTGGTAAGATAACCTTTACTACAAAATGTAATAAGTTTGTTTAGAGGTTCGATGAGTTTACACAGATCACATAGTGATTTCCGAGCTTTTAGTATTATATTACTGTAAAATTTAGGATGTGAAATACCGTTTTTAGTAAGTTTTCTACAGGTACAGCCAAATTTACTAATCAAATCTTTGTATCCAAGAAAGAATTTAGTAAATGTTTTTAGTAATTTATGGTAACGAAATCCCTGACTTAATGATTTACCTGTAATGCATTGATTACGTTCGTTAAAATCTATGACATCACTACACACACGGGCATAACGAACGAGTTGGGATACATAAACACCGTATGATGGAGCCAAAGGAACATTGCCGTCTAAAAAAGGAAAATTTACAATAGGGAATGAAAAATCTCTTTTGTCGTAAATTTTAGTATGGAGTTTCCCTTTAGAAATTGAGATGTCTAAATATAGAAAAGGACAACTACTGCTGTTTATGTTAGATTTAGTTAAAGTAAGTTCTTTTGGGTAAATTTCGGTAGTATATTTAGATAACTCTGGATTATGTAACGAAAAAATATCATCCAGATAACGGTAGGTATTGTTGAATGTATCAACCACATGTAACAATGACGTGTCTTTACTGAGTTTGGTCATAAAATGAGATTCATAGCAATACAGGAAAAAATCTGCTATTAAAGTGGCGCAGTTAGTGCCCATAGAAATACCTACTACTTGTCGATACACTTTATCGCCGAAACGTACATATATGTTGTCCAGGAGAAAATTTAAAGCTTCAATCATATTTTCACATTTCCAGTAAGTGTCCTTTTTCGTTACAGAAAAAGGCTTTAAACGAGTTACAGCAAATAAATTTGCAACGAGATTTCTCAAAAGACCATTCAATCAAATATGATAACTTTTTCTTGATAAGAATGTACATTTGCTTGAGTGAATCCAAAAGTCTTGCATTTAAATGTAAAAATTGTATAGATTTATTTCGTCTTCAAGCCATTATTCCACTTCTAAACTGTCTACTCTACTTACTAGTACACTTGGTACAATAAACAACATGGTAATAAATTGTTCAAATAAGGCCTTTGAAATAGTGGAATTAATTACTTTTGGAGTGTCAAAAATTCGTTGGAAGTACTAGATAAATTGCATGCTTATATTGGTGATTTCGAATCTGTTAATTCAAAGAGTTGATTTTTCTACCCTATATACCACTTAGCCTCATAATCTTATAAAGAAAACATTCACACACCTATCTAAATTAGCATTAAAAAGTCAGAATGCGAATATATATGTTCAAACTCTTTTAGGTCATTTTTTGTAACAACAAACAAAAGAACTATGTAAATTGGACCTGCTTTGATACGATAACTGCCCTTGAATTTTTACTCGATAATATTCTTGTTCGCTATGGAGATTCCGTATATCGTCAAGTTATCGGAATTCCAATGGGGACTAACTGTGCACCACTTATTGCGGACCTGTTTCTGTATTGTTATGAGTTACAATTTATGACTAAAATCAGCAAAGACCAATCGAAACAACATCTGATACATACATTTAATAACACTTTTAGATATTTGGATGATATATTGGCTCTCAATAATGACGACTTCAGTATGTACACTAAAGAGATTTATCCTGATGAACTGACTTTAAATAAAGCTAATACTAACAGTGAACACTGCCTTTTCCTGGATCTTTTTATCTATATCTTTAACGGAAAGCTTAATACCAAAATTTATGATGAAAGAGATGATTTTTCATTTCCTATTGTTAATTATCCATTTTTAGATGATGACGTTCCCTTGTCACCATCTTATGGTGTTTATATATCTCAACTTGTTCGATTTGTTCGTGTATATAACAACGTATTTGGTTTTAGAAATCTCTGTATTACTAAAAAATTATGACACCAGGGTTTTCGATATCACAAACTAGTCAAAACATTTACTAAATTTTATCATCGGTACAAGGACATCATTCGTAAATATAAATCAACATGCAGACATCTTATACGTTCAGGTATTTCATATGCAATCTTTTATGGTAATATTCTATATAAAGCACAAAAATGTCGACATTCACCTCAAAAGCTAACCAAACCTTTAAACAGACTTATTTAGAAGGGAAATAGTTATGATACTGTTGTCAGGTCATTAAAGACGGCATATTTTGGTATTAATATTGATTCACTCATAGGGTCTTTGCATCGAAAATAAACACATTTATTCTTAAACCAGTCGTTGGCATGATACGGGTTATGTTCTTCTCATATATTTTATGATGGTATGATACTAAACCCCTAACGGACCAGACTCAAGCTAGAGACCAATTCCAGCGACCAATCAAGCTAGCGGCCAATTCTATCGACCATTAATGTTAGCAATGAAAATCAACCTGTCAAAGAATCACATTGCGGTATTTGCGAAAACCACAAAACCCCATAATGAAAAAAAAACGTTCTGTTAAAAAGAAATTGTGCTTGATTTTCATATGATGAAGACATAATCTTTCAATCAGTTTGATTGAGGTCTGGAGATGGCATGTCGGTAACTGCTAGTAGTCCTTTGTTAATTCATGCGGACTTCTTTTAAACTGAGTTTTACTGTGTGTATTGCTATGTGTTTCTTTATTCTACATTGGCTAGAGGTATAGGCGGAGGGTTGAGATCTCACAAAACATGTTTAACCCCGCCGCATTTTTTGCGCCTGCCCCAAGTCAGGAGCCTCTGGCCTTTGTTAGTCTTATATGTTTTTTTTAATTTTAGTTCATTTATAAGTTTTGAAGTTTAGTATGTCGTCCATTTTCATTGAACTAGTACACATTTTTGTTTAGGGGCCAGCTGAAGCCCGCCTCTGGGTGCGAGATTTTCTCGCTGTGTTAAAGACCACTTGGTGGTCTTCGGCTGTTTTCTGCTCTTTGGTCGGGTTGTTGTCTCTCTGACACATTCTCCATTTCCATTCTCAATTTTATCAATATGAGATATTGAGCAAGGCCGTACCCTCAAACAGATATTTTCTAAGTCTTTGAAATATATTTTTCGATAAAGATTTGGCTCATAAATTATCTAATTTTGCCTACGTTTAAAATGACAATTAATGGCTACATATGTGAACATGTCGACACCAGAAATCACATTTCTTTTTTAAAGTGTCGATATTAAATCATCCTATTTATAAACTATAAGAACTGACATAATTTTGAAAAAAAAAATGATTTTTTCTTTTCCATTTTTGGAAATTTAGGGGCCAGATAATGACTCATACTTCTCCTTTTACATATCAAGGAAATGAATATCAATCAAAGGTTTCATAGACTTACGTCAGCCGTAAACCAGTCTACTCCATTTGTTCCAAAGAAATAACATTCATTGCCAAATCTCAACCAGCCGGTTCCTGCAATAAAGAAACAAGAAAATGTTTAACACCGGAAATAGAAAATAAATGCCTTTTTTGTTTAAATTTTATTGTAAATAGTTTGTTCTAACACTAATAAATATGGTTGGGAGGATTGAGACTCAGTGTTAACAAAAAATAAAGCAAACCTCGCCCTAATGTTCATGGATTTGTCCCAAAATTGAGAATTTCGTCAGTGCTTATAACTGTAAATCTGGGATTCCCACATAAACCTCTATATCTTTCACGAAAGAGATTTAAGAAAATCACAAATCCGTCCTTCTCTCCTTCGGTATTGACATAAAAAGGACGATGAAAGTCTCCGTCATTATACTGGATACCTAAACTTCACAAAAAATCACTATAAAGAAAGAAAAATAAACAGATCGTCCATATCTTTGATTAAACATCGTTCTTAAGTTCTTACTACCATTCTTTCTATAGTAAAAGTTGGCCTTCAAAAATATAGTGATGAGGTATATTCACCTAGTGGTGTCAATCCAATATGGATTCTTTAAAATTCTAACGATCTTCTATAAAATCCTTAATCATATTTTTTTCAAATTTTGCAATATTGTCAAAACTTTTGATTGTTATACGCTCCGCCCTTCTATTCTCCATACTCAAGTAAAAGATCGACTAAATCGTCTCATAAGACAGAGCTTTGGCTTCAAAAATGGGAATCGTAGATATACAAATTACTAGTTTTAGGTCACTCAAAATCTTTTTTCATGAATAACCACACCGATTCTAATAAAAAAAAAATACACCAAAGACGATTTCATAAAAAAAAAATCTTTTTAATCGACAACATATTTGTTGATTTCGGTTAATTTATATTTCAATGGGTACTAATTGTGCACCTCTACTGACCGACTAGTATTTGTACATATGTGAATGGCGGGTGATGCTTGTATACAGCAGGAGTCTCGCTCCTTCGGAGTTCATGCGATTTCTTTCGATTTCGTTTGTTACCGTGATTTGTTTCTTTTTTTCCGATGCATGAGATTTGAACATCAGTAAAATTTAACTACATTTCTTACAAGTATCTAAAATAATATTTTTGGTTAAAATCCTATGCTATATAATGGCCCTTAACATAAGAACAGATCAGACCCAACAGACCGCAATGATCGTGTTCAAATAAAGACGACTAGAAAATATTAGGAACCAATACACTGAGAAAGGGATAAACTCATTATACAGGAAATGCTGGAATGCTGATACACAAAAATTGAAAGTTCAACATGGGAAAGTTTAAATCCTCGCCTTTGTGGTAAAGTGTAGGAATACAAAAAGTTACTTTAGGGTGACTTTTTTCAATAGATATAAGAAGATATGGTATGAGTGCCAATGAGACAACTCTCCATCCAAGTCAAAATTTACAAAAGTAAACCATTATATAAGGTCATATATCTCTCAACCTAATGCAAAAAGCTCAAAGAATCAATATGAAAAGATAAAACAAACAAGTCACAAATCTAAACTTTCAAGGGGCAATAACTCTTATAAATATCATCGGATTATTTTTATGGCACCGCCACAAAATGGTCGGGGCCATATATGTTAACCCTTATCCGTCATTCCGTCATTCCGTCACTTTGAAAATTTCGTGAAAATAACAGTTATACGGACTTCTATTCTCATATTTCCACTTTTAAGCATGGCTGCAAAATTCTTTGCGAGCGGGGCCAATCGTGTCGTTCAGACACATCTAGTTTACTGAATGAAACAGAGTTTCGACATAAGGTCGAAACACCTCCGGATGTGGGATGTTCTCGCTGTGTTGAAGACCCATTGGTGGCCTTGAGTTGTTTTCTGCTCTTTGGTCGAGTTGTTGTCTCTTTGACACATTCCCCGTTTCGATTCTCAATTTTATTTTGTTCCTTTCTTTCTTTGTCTATCTCTTACAGTTTTAAAGAGATCCGAAAATCGCAAAGGTCGAAATCTAGAATGTCAAATTGACTTTTGACTCGGACCTCTATTTCAAGGTATACTTTATGGTTTTCAAATTAAAATACCTCAGGCCTCTAATATGCATGGTTTATGAGTAATATAGCATAACAGGTTATTTCAAATGATAAAGTAGAGACTCCAAATTAGAAAATCCCTAGAGCACCGAACCAAATGTATTGAAGTTTCGTCGTATAGCAATTAGAAATTTGACAAAAAGCTTCCATCGTTAACTGGTTCGGTGTCTGTACAGTAGCGATAACAAGTAAAATTAAGAACATATCCTTGACCTTTGATCTTTACATCATTTTCATGTTGATGACTAAGGACCGTATTATATGAAAATAGATTACGGTTTTGAAGGAGTATCGATAACAAAAAAAAACAGTGTACAATTTCAATAGGGATAACTGTTCGGTTACACCGGGGCACCGTAATCACTGTACAATATCAAAAATCTTTTCGGTATGTCGCGAAACAAAAACAAAAACATCTAAGAAGCATTAAACAGCAGACGAAAAATCAAAACAATGCAAAATTTCTTCCAGGGAATTTCAAAGGGTTGATTGTGATATAGAAATATGGTCATCTATTGACCTCTCGAGTATGGCATTAAAACCATAGCTACATGTAAAGTTGAGTGTATGCTTAAAAATGTGTGGGATGTATAAATACGCAGCCTCGTATAGGTTGATTTATATCGCTCCCGCTCCAGTTAAAGAACCATTGTAAAATTAACAACTATTTGAGGCAATAAAATGTGACATATTGGAAGTAAAATGTCTGCCCTATCCAACATAGCCACATTTACAATGCCAATGGCAATCAAAATTCCCCTCCCTTCATTCAATTGAACCTACTATCCAGTATTTAAAATTGTTAATTTCTTCTCGTCCTGAATATGCATGAAATATTTGCCTTGATAAGCAAGCAACAATCAATCATGTTATACATGGACAGTTGGAAATGTCTTTTTTAAAGCTTGAAAAATAAGATCAGGAATCGAATATCTTTGAATACAAAAAACTTTCTTGTTGTGGGACAGTTTGTAATTATTTAATACAAAAGCCTAACATCATGAAATCTCTACTTCGCAATGGCTGTGAAATATCTAAAAACAATTTTAGTAAATGAAACACTGTAAAACAAAATATTTGATGGAAAAGTATTTAAAAATATCAAGAATTTTATATATACATATTGTTAAGCATGATACCGGTATATGATTAACACGAGAGAAAAAAATCTTGGTGAAGGAATATCCAAAAAAGTGCTTCGAACTCACGAAATTCATAAAGTGTTTTATTTTCATTCACTTTAATATAGAAAATGAAAGAAAGAGTTATTTATAAACTTTCGTGCAGAGATGCTACATACGAATTTCTAAACAGAGTTTTGAAATGGACGTGAATCTTCTACTTTTTAGACAGCAAAATTTGTTTGAATCAACATACAAATTAATATCAGTATTAATTATTCACATATAAACAACTACATACTGCTGGTAATGACGTTGTTGTCTTGATTTTTTCTCTGACCTGAAAAGAAAATGATTTTGGTATAGCCACTGTTTTATAAATGAATTATGAAAATCATCTAGAGGCTGTAAAGAGCCTGTGTCGCTCACCTTGGTCGATGTGCATATCAAACAAAGGACACTCTCCAACATTGTAGTCGAGAATAAACTTCATGACAAAAAAATCTCTATTTTTGTTGATCTTGTATAACTGATCTTTATTCTGTTTAGTTTCTCTCTATCTTCTTTAGTTTTTGCCCAAAACACAAAAGAGGGTAAAAAAATTGCTCATTTAAGGGCAATCACTCCTATGAAGAGTGACAGTCTACTAACTATATCGGCAAAATTTGAATTTTTTAATAGATCTTGCCTTGCTGATCATTTTTGTTATTTAAAGTGTTTATTATCTATTATAATTTAAATCATATAAGGCATAACGGGAAAAAAATGTTTCTCTCTAAATATCAATAGTTTTTATGATAATAGGCAAAAAAGGAAAAAAATGATAAAATTTGTCATTTGGGCAATAACTCCTATAAGAATTTGTCTAACAGTTTTGACGTATATGGACAATTGGTAGAGCTAATTATTCTGAATATTTTTGCTTTTTTCAGATTTTCTCTTTTTATAACGGTTTAAAAAATAATAAACAAAACTTGCATGTTATCCCCTATGTTCTATTTTAGCCATGTCGTCCATGTTGGTTAGTAGGCGGGGTCATCGGACACATTTCTTAAACTAGATACCCTAATGATGATTGTGGCCAAGTTTGGTTAAATTTGTCTCAGTAGTTTCAGAGGAGAAGATTTTTGTAAAAGATTACAAAAATTTACAAAAAATTGTTTAAAATTGACTTTAAAGGGCAGTAACTCCTTAAGGGTTCATTTGACCTTTTTGGTCAAGTGACTTATTTGTAGATCTTACTTTGCTGTACATTATTGATGTTTACAGTTTATCTCTATCTATAATAATATTCAAGATAATAACCAAAAACTGCAAAATTTTCTTAAAATTACCAATTCAGGGGCAGCAACCCAACAACGGGTTGTCTGAATCGTCTGAAAATTTCAGGGCAGATAGATTTTGACCTGATGAACAATTTTACCTATGTCAGATTTGCCCTAGATATTATGATTTCAGAGATATAAGCCAAAATCTACATTTTACCCTATGATCTCTTTTTAGCCATGGCAGCTATTTTGGTTGGCGGGCCGGGTCATCGGACACATAAACTAGATTCCCTAATGATGATTGTGGCCAAGTTTGGTTAAATTTGGCCAAGAAGTTTCAGAGGAGAAGATTTCTGTAAAAGTTAACGACGGACGACGGACGCCAAGTGATGAGAAAAGCTCACTTGGCCCTCTGGGCCGGGTGAGCTAAAAAGGTATTGTCTCAAATAGTTCACTGAATCAACAACCGTAAACCAACTCATCCATGAAAGAAAATATTTATTTATAACCATGTACAATTGTAAAAGGTTTTGATTAGAGCTCTGAATAACAATTTCGTAAATATCATATGAATTTATCGCATGTGTTGGTGAGAGCAACTATTGAAAGTGGAATAGTAAAGGGTGTTGCTAATGGGTTAAATTCAAGTGACATCTCAGAACCTAATTTATAGGTTTCATTTGAAAACTATAGAAAGTATTCCAGATTTAGAAAGAATAGAAAAATGTTCTTGTAGATACTTATCTGAACTAACAACTTAATTTGAATATGTGCATATCAATTACATTGGTACAATTACAAAGGCAAATTCTTCTATAGTTCGTCTGGCCGAAAGAATGGATGCATGAATATGGTGTGTACAATTTTTAGTTTTGTACAAATCTTTATTCTAGTTATCAGTTCTTTGACAAACACCTTCTTTCATCTAGGTTATACAAATTTATCTTAAATACTCAGCCAGCTTGACGTATTACTCAAACATATTTATAAGATATTTCAACTTAATATTAGACATTCTCCTACATAACATAAAGCTGCAAATAAGGACACCAGATTGGATGTCTATCTGCTTAGTGTATAATTCTTTCCTTTATACCAGATTTCCGGTTCCAAAAGTTTCTTTATCTAAATTGAATGCCCATACGCAAATTTTGAATATGTTTTATGTTGTCATGAAAATATGACAGATATAATATAAGCTAAATCTGGGAACAGTATATCTATGTTACTGGCTAAATCAAAGACGGTGTGCTTGTTTTATCCAATTATGTTAAGAAGTTAGCAAAGTACTGTACAATGTTTTTAACCACACATACAACATACAATAATTTCTTTGGCATATATATCCTTATTTGTACGACGGGGGATAATCGAACCATCCATCTTTCCATCCCCAGGCTACTACATCATAAGTTTCTGCAATTTTGCCATATCCTGAGGCCCATTGTGTGTAACTTGCAACAGTATTGTCGATGTTCCAGGTAAAGTTTCCTTCATTCTCTATGTCTGTTAAACCTATCCAGTAATAATTTTGTGCTGAAAAAAAAGATAATAAGATTTTGTCCACTTAAATGCACAATGTATCTTTGTGTATGTGTTGTATTTGCAATAATTGAAACACTGTCTTAGATACCTCAGAGATTAAAGCGTATCGAAATGACCGAGTTACAATGGACTAGTATATCAAATTATCGGTCGTGTAACTATAACGCATTGTATCACCATATGAAATCCACACGATCTTTCTAAATCTAAGTTTATAAATTATGTAATTAGACTTTTATAAAAACAAAACACAATTTGCTGGGGTTTCTCTTGTTTTTGTATTATTTTGATTTGCGTTTTTACTTTTTCTGCGTCTGGTCGGAATCTGGACGTTAAATCCGTTGTCTCGTTTAGTGCTCTTTTGGACATTAAAAAACTCTTGCAGCCACACTTTAAATAGATCGTAGAACTTGGCCTGTTGCAAACCAGATTTCTCTATTCGGGTACCTTTTTGATACAGTGGTAGTTGAAAATCACTGTCCATAAACCTGGTTGCCATTTAGACTTGTTGACCAATTTGTATCACGAGCCTATTGAATTTTTTTTTGTTGTCCAGCTAGATATGCACAAAATATTATCGACTTTCAGCAAACAATAAATCATTCTATTCTTTTGTTTTTTGTGTTTGTTTTTGTACTCCTTTAGAATATTATTTCTACCTTTTTCCTGTTTTTTCGTATTTGTCGTATATAAAAAAAAAAGATGTTTGGGGCACGCCATTGTAACAAAATCTCAACGACAGGAAAAATTATAAGACCACTAGACTAGGGGTCAAAATACGATTTCCAACAATAGCAAAATGTAGATACAATACTTACGCATACAAGTTATGAATAGATTTAAAAGAGACTATTACAGTATGACATCAATATCATTTAGATGTTTTTAACTTTATACAACAATGGACGAGGAACTTTTAACAGGTACATGAATATGTGACGAGGTTAAACCTTTACCTGTTTTTACTGTTTTGTTTAAAATGAATATAAGGAAGTGTTTCTTAAGTCACGTGATGGGGCAAGTTTGTTTTTCCTGTACTTTACGTAAAATGCTCCGAAGCTTTATCTGTTGTTTGGTTTTTGTCTATTATGTATGTGTGTCTTGTTTTGTGTATGTGTATGTGTTTTGTCTTGTAATTTTTGTCAGGTTTTTTTGGTTCTTTTTTTTTTATTATTATTCTTGGTGCACAAATGGTACACTAGGAGAAGAATTTTCCATTAGCTTCAATAGTGAAAAAAGGAACGTTTAGTACTGATTTGCACAATGTCTTAGATTTTGCACGACGATATACTTTGTGACACATCTTATAAAGATCATCTAGGAACTATTTGAAACTATTCTTTGACAAGTCTTTGCAAAGAGAACCCTTCAACTGATAGTCATAAATAAAGAAAGCAGGTATTTAAGGTTTATTACTTCAACAAAGTTGGTATATTGCCTATAAGGAAGATAGTTACAGCGGTGCAAGATGGTCATTAATAGACAGAAAATCTGATAGTAGTTTTTGTCAAATTTGAATATCGAAAACAATGACCTGATTATGATATTACAAAAGAAAACCATGAAACACATTCGTTAATCTGCCCTATGCAGAATTTTTAATTTTGTAGCAATGAAGAGGAGAGTGCTCTAATATAACCACATCGAGGTTGGGGACAGAAACAAAAACCGTATACATATAGCAGTATGTTAATGGATACCATCAACTAGCAATTATACCGTACACACATACAAAAATGTGCAACCATTTAATACCTGATGGCCGTTTTGTCCATAACCAATTGTCTATCCATTTGTTTTCAATTTTCACTAAATGGCTTTCCATTCCCATGCAGGTTGCCTAAACAATGCAATTACTATAATCTCTTACGACTAATGTCAAGAAGTTATATATACTCATGCTCAATATTTTGAATTTAATCACAATAAAACGTAAACATATTTTTTTCATTTCTAAATGTGTTATTTGTAATCATGAACTCTGCAAGGGAATATTGAAACGCTCCTTTTCTGCAATTGGTAAAACATTTCAGAACTTGTAAAATCACTTTGAATAGACATAGACATAGAAACTTATTTTGAATTCGTCATGTACAAACATGATATTTTTATAATGATGAACACGAAAGCTTTGGTGAGATGTTTACCGAATATGATAAAAAGTGCCCATAAACAAACAAAACAAAATATCATGCACATATGAAACAGAAATATTTGCAGAAATACTTTTTATTATTTACATTGGAACTGTCTGACAATCTCAAACATCAGTTCATGGGCAAGCTCGTTTATGGGTAGCTACATGTACATGTAGATCAACAACGATGAAAAATCAAAATTAAAAATATTCACTGTTATTATTATCATATGAATAAAAAGAACATTTTGTCGCAGTTACACCGAGAAATGATATACATAGCAGCGTTTACAAGAAGAGAATAATGTCATTATATCTCACTACTTACTTAAATGTGTGCGCAGAAAATCGTAAAACAAGCACATTGTTGAAGGCCGTACTGAGATCTGAAGTTGTCTAGTACATCTTTGGTCTTTGGTAAAGTTTAGTCTCACTGACAATCACACCACATCTCCTTACCTTGATAACTATACATTGTTTGTCGTTAGCAGTATCCATTCATCCTGAACAAGCACAAGACTGGTCCATTTTGTTTCGTGGTAATGAAGACACAAACATTTGATATAATATGAAAGATATAAAATTCATAAAGAAAAACACTAGTATTAAGATACATTTTAAGCCACAAAACTGTGTCAATTTTGGTTACCTTCTGTTTTTCGTGTTTTCGCTTATAATCAGACCTTCCTTTTGTTTCAAATTATTTGTTTACTTACATCCGCGTCAAACCATGTTGCTCCATTTAGCCCAAAGAAATAACATTGGTCTCCGTATTGTAACCATCCTACAGTATTACAATTCAAAATTGATGCATAAGGACCATATTTCGACAAAAAATATCTGTTTGTTGATAACAAATTCCAAGGAATTTTAGAATAAGACAACAGAAAAGGTAAAAATTAAAACATACCGAAACTCCTGACCCCAAGTAGATGATACTATATTCAAAAGAAATTTTTTCAATGTTCACTACCTTTATTCAAACTGAAACAAACCGCATATGTGGTCTTGTGGTAGCGTGTTCGCCTCGAATGTGGTATGTCGTGGGTTCGAATGCTGGTCGGTTAAACCAAAGACTTTAAAAATGGTATTTGCTGCTTCTCTGCTAAGCTTAATGATTAAGAGCAAATACTGGTCGGCTCTTGGTAGGGTGACATGTCTTCCTGCGGTCTATATACTTGTGAACTAGCACGTTAAGAACCGGCTTTAGTTAGCGTAATACAGGTATTGTCCTTTTTCTGCTTCGTACTACTATGAAGAAGTTTATGATGTTTAAAGTTATATGAACAGTCCGCTAAAGAGTTATCGACCACTCAGTAATAGGAAACGGTTACAATGACAATTTCTTTGATCGACCCCGGGAATACTTTAGGTTAATTCTCAGTTAGACTGGCCCAGTTTCTGAATTCTCAATCTAAATGTTTAACCTGTTATAGATCCAATTTGTCAAAAACGATTACAGGTTTTGTCATGTTCCTGGTTTTACCCTTTCTATCTACTGCTATTTTTGGAATCCTCTGACGGGTATTTACAATTCATACGTTTGTTTTTCTTCTTTGTGTCTGGTTTATTATCACAGGAAAAGGTTGCCTTAGCCAAATTTGGCACAACTTTTTGGAACTTTAGGTTTTCAATGCATTTCAGCCACTGATGAGTTTTCTACATTAGAAAATGCATGTACGAAGTCAGGAATATGACAGTTGTTTCCATTCCATTCGTTTGATGTTTTTGATTTTGCCATTTTTAAAAAATTCCCTTGGAGTTCGGTATTTTTGTTATTTTACTTTTTTTGCTCGTCTAGTTTTGTATCTATGATGAGTTTTTTGGTGTGGCCTTAAAGATATTAACTCAACTTTGGTGTTCCACCGTAATACTTATTGAGGGTCTCACTAATTAGCGACAAGAAGCGAGAAGAAGCGACAAGAAGATTAATTTAGCGACAAGAAGACTATTTAGCGACAAGAAAACATTTTTTTATTAAGATTATTTATTCCAAATAAATATTAAAAAATATGCATTTATTTTTTTTTAACATATGGGCAGAAATAATTTTAATAAAAAAATAGTCTTCTTGTCGCTTCTTGACGCTTCTTGTCGCTAAAATTCTTCTTGTCGCTAATTATTGAGACCGCTTATTGAAATGATACCAATTATACTATTGATTTTATTCGAACTCAATACTACTGTAGTAAATGTGTACGACTTAAACCAGAAGAGCAAGCTTCAAATCAAATGATATTTTCGTTCGATAATTTAAGAATACAATTTATGGATGTCCACTTCTAACGTTTTCAACTTTCCTATATATTCTGTAACATTATAAGGGGCACCAATTTCACTGCCCCAGATGCGTATTTCAACAAGTAATATCTCTTCAGTGATGATCGAGGCTAAACATTTTAAAATCCAAAACCTAATACAAACGACGAAGAGCTAATAAAATCAAAAAGGACCAAAAGTACAGCTAACCTAGATAAGGAATCAGAGCTATGCACGAGGGAGGACTATTCCTTTGTTCAAAATGATTTTGAAATTTTATAACAGCAAATTTAAATAAAACAATATCCGTATTTTCAAGCCAGTACCGAAGTACAGGCTACTGGACTAATGATACCCTCGAAGACAGTCCACCAGCTGATAATCAACCCAGATGTAGTAATGATTTTAACGGTATCAATTTTACTGCACAAGATATGAATTTCGGCAAGTAATATCCATTCAGTGATGCTCGAGGCCAAAATGTTTAAAATCCAAAACCTATTTGTATACATTTCTGACCAAATTCTTGCCTATTCACCAAACATCCGTCTTGAATAATAAAATCCTAAATTTACCCCATTATCCTTAATTAACCTCACTCCTTTTCAGTAATTTTGATGTAAGGAACATGAAATTCTTGTGATATTAGCACTTTGTCTGCGACAAAGGTTTTAGAAACTTGATGGTTTCCCTGTTGGATGCATGAATGATATTGTATGGATGCACATGTATTTTGGATTATTCAGTAACAGTTACAATTGACATCTTAATAAATACTTAAGATGGGAAAAATTAAAATGATAGTCACAAATCCAATTATAAATGCATACTCATGCGGCCCCTTGATGCACGATTCTCAGAGGTTTAGAAATAGGAAAATAAATTAGAGTCATTAAATCACACTATTGGATGACAAAAAATAATAAAAATTGTTGTGAAATAACACCATAAGAGATTGTCTGTACCGGAGGTTTGGAAATTTGATATTTGCGCCGACAAGAATTATGGCGGAAAATTTATTTTGAGTAATCCATTAATTGAAAATAACACTTTATAAATAGAAACATTAAGGCCCAGTTCTGACCCAAGAAAAAACGTTGTTGTGAACTTATTCAAAATTGCACATAATGTTTGGAAATGCATAAAATCAAGAAATATAAATTCATTACAGAAGATTTTTGATGTTATGACGTCACAATTACGTCATAATATGTACAATTTTCATGAAAATGAAAAAAAACGGCAGAATTTGTGCAGTTTTCAGTTATTATTTCCATTGTGGAAAAATCGTGCGCAGCCGAGAATCAACAAAATAATTTAAGAGAAACTTTATTATAACTGTTGACATAATCCTACCAAATATAAAGTTGTTTCTTGGGTACGCACATACTTTTCCAAAATAGTAAAATTGAGAATGAAAATGGGGAATGTGTCAAAGAGACAACAACCCGACCATAGAACAGACAACAGCAGAAGGTCACCAACAGGTCTTCAATGCAGCGAGAAATTCCTATAAACTTATATACTTAAAAGGGGGTGTAAAACAAGGGAAATACAAAATATCTACATATTAATCAAATTTCGTGATAGTTTGTTTCCATGGTTACTCTTAAAATGTGAAATTTGTCTTTATTTTCCGAACACCTTGTACCTTAGTGTAGTTATGACAAATTAAGGAATATCCATGGAAACTTTTTAATTTGCCCTTATATTTGGGCCAAATAAAGGCCTTATTGGCCCTACTCCAAATTTGGTGAGTCCGAAGCGCTTACCTGGATTTGCGTCATCAGGAACACTCAAACCATGAAATTTGAAAACATTAGATGCTGGAGGAACTTTATGAACAAAATGGTCTTAAAAATAATAGAAAAATCCATCTATAAAGTTCAACTTTGCTGTGTGACTAGTGATATGTTGTATTTGGTTTAAGAAAATGTTACTTGAATTACAGATTTCAATATGCATATAATATCAGTATGTTTTAGAATTGAATTGTTACTCACCATCGTCAGCTGCAAGTCTGCTTTTCACGTTTGACCCATCAGCAGTTAGTACAAAAACTATAGCAATTAGTGTAAACATATCGACCAAAAACTAACAAAATATTCACATTCTACAATAACCAAATAGTATCAACGTAACTATTGTGTGTGTTCACATGTATGTAAATCTTATCTTAGATTGTACTCCATTAGATCCCTGCCAAGTTTGTACAACCTTATTTCACGTAAAATTTACTTTCCAACAAAATGTGGGTGAAGTACATTCTTCCTACTTGAAACCATGTTAAACCAGATTAACAACATTTTTAGATATATTTATATAACATATTTTATAGTTATTTTGATGTCGACTATTTGTCCGATTCAAATTTATAGTAGTGACTTTTCAGATTGCATTGAATTGTGTTTTAAGGCATAAAGTTTGTATATCAGACATTTTTTTAAAAC